GCCAGAATTCCCCAGCAGCTGGCCAAGGACACTCAGCCGTCCTGAGGAGCTCACCTCTGAGGCACTGGCGGCACGCAGGGGCGCTGGGCATGCTGGTCCGGGGGCAAGCCTCCCCAGGTCCCCCATGCTGACGCAGCTCCCCCTGGAGTGGGGGTCGGGTGCCTGGGGCTCAATTCCTGGCCTAGGTGGGGCTGGAGGGCACCCCGTGGCCAGGCACGCACCCAGCTGCAGCTGGAAACTGCACACTCCTGAGCCTTCGAGAAACAGCTCTTCTCAGCAGTAATGTTGACTGTAAATGCCCCAAACGTTGTGGTTATGTTACAGATAAGAAAGGGGTGTGCTGGGGGTGGGGTGGGGGGGACGAAGGAAACAAGACTAAAGAGGCCCGTCCTAAGCGAACAGGTGTGGCCCCTGCAAGCGCCCAGGGCAGCTTCACTTGGGCCCTGTGCCCCTCTCGGGCTTCACAGCAACAAGGCCAAAGCGCCACGACTGCCTGTGGCCCCCCTGACCGCGCTCTCCCTGGGACGTCCCCTGCAGCGCCGGCCTCCAGCCCAAGCGCCTGGGCCCACCTCTGTGGCTGATGGGGCTGGGACAGGCGTCCGGCCTCTGACTTCTAACCTGGAGCTCAGCCTTGATGTTCTTATTTCATTTTTTCAGCTCAAATGATTGTTTTTATTCCTTGGCAATGACTCAGCAGGTGAGGAGGGGCAGGGGTGTATCTTCCCGTCCATCCCGCGATGTCCTCAAGGAGGAGAAGGTGAGTTCAGAGGTCTGGAGATTTGCTCCTGGGCTAGTCAATAAGGAGATTCTCTGAGCACTAGGGGAGGGAGGGAGGGAGAGAGGGAGGAGAGGAGGGAGGGAGACAGGGAGGGAGGGAGGCAGGGAGAGAGGCAGGGAGGGAGGGAGGCAGGGAGAGACGTTTAAAAGAAAAAACTATTTGTCCTTTCTCTTTCTGGCCCAGGCTCCAGCCCCAAACATCAAAATGAAACACATTTGCCCTTTCATTGTTAGGTCTCCTCTGGAGAGCTCCCTGTGAGATTTATCACTCACAGGCCCTGCAGAAATCTGCACACTCCTTCTCTGCACCTCAGCCTGGAGCTGGTCTGAAAAATGATCAATTGTATGAGCTCCCGAGACCCCAGAGTGGGGAAGAAACTCAGCCAGTGTTCACGGTGACGCCCCTCCCCCTCCGCTCAGGCTGGGCGGGTTTCTCCCCAGTGAGGATGACCAGAGGGTCTTTGGATCTTTGGACCCGCTTCACTGGGGCAGGGGAGCTGCAGATGACAGATTTTATAGATCTTGTGGGAAAGCAGCAGGAAAATAAAAAGGAAGGTTGGAGAATAAAGAGTAGGAAATGAAGAGGAACTGAGTCAGAACGCAGAGAACAATCTGAGACTTGTGAGAACGTGAACGGTCAAACGAGAGCCTCATCCAGCCAAGCAGAAACCGTCCAACATCAGCAGACTAACCGATATCACCTCGCCAGAAAATCCTGTTTCTAAAGATCACAAATGTTTTTAAGTCTAGATAATCAAAGTTTCTTTACATAACCACATGTTGGGAGTTTTTAGATTTTCTAGGCTATGTGTGAAATTGGCTGAGAAAATGCTAGCATCTAAATCATGGTCCAGGTTTTGATGAAATGGAAACTAAACACAACACGCCCTCCTCTCCCATGGATATAGGCACATGCAGTCTGAGGAGCTGGGTGCCGTGAACTAAAGGCTGTCCCTGTCCTTACTGACATCGGGGCCACAGGGTCCCAGAACACCCAAATGCACAGTTCTTTGGGGCAATTAGCTGGAAGTGGCAACTTGCAGCTGCATGTTTGTCTGGGCACACTCTGGCCCTGGCCATCCCGAGGTTGTACACTTTCACTGTGTGTATGACTGGCTTGATTTACTTATTTAATAATTCCGCAGAGGAGACTGAGCTATTGACTTAATATTTATTGAGCACCCACAATGTGTCAAACACAGTGCAAGCCCCAGCCTGGAGAAATTCATCCCAGAGTCAGCCACATATTCACAGACTGCATGCCTAACAAAGACATCAGTGCATGAAAGGAAATCCGCCAGGAGCTGGCTGCCTTGGAGAGCAAAGGTGCCCTTCATCTCTCATCTGTGGGGAGGGAACCCTGGATTCACTCCCAGATCTAGCCCCCTCCTGCATGGGTCGCCTTGAGGTCAGTTCCCTGCCTGGCATTCGCAAGACCCCTAAAAATTCAGGAATGTAAACCACAGTGCAGAAGTGATTAATAAGCCTCCCTAGGAAAATAAACCTGAAACTTAGCCTCCCCAGACAGAAGAGCAGGCTGAAAATCCACAAGCAGGAAAAGTCAGGAAGTTTACGGCCATTGAAATACTATTACTTTAGTATCATTCACGGTTGCTATTTCCAGATAACTATTGCCAATGCATATTGAAACACTCCCCAGCCGATTTAGATTTAAATCTATTGATTGGTTGCCAAAACCGAGAGCCAGTGACAATGCCCGCAGAGAGGATTACGGAGCCTCGCGTCGCCTCGGGAAGGGTGCCAAGCTTGAGCCTGGCCGAGTTCCCAGCGCCACAGGCTCCTTATAGGAAGTGGCCTGAGTACATATTCTGGTTGGCTGACATTCATGAAAATGGGTTCTATTAAATAAAGTTTTCTACTTCAACTCTGCATGGATTCCTTTAGGAGTCACTTCTGGGAGATTTTTTTAAAGCCAATTTGTTTTACACTGAAACTAGGCCCACATTGACTTCAGAGAAGGTAAGAATTAGCTGTTCAGTTGCCGGTTTGCAGAATTTGTAAAGATGTTTTTACACATCTTTAGGCGCTTCACAAGTCCACATAAATTTTCAAGTTTCTAAGCTAAGTTGTCGGCAGGTTAATGACAGGTTCCAGCTTTTCTCATAATTGGTAGGGTACTTGCTTCCCAAAATCGATACAGACTTAAATTAAGCTTATCATTTTTAAGGCCCTGGTGGCCAGGATTTGGAGTAATTCCTGGTGTATAATTTGATAACGCAGTTGATCAAAGCAGAATGGGGGTCCTTTGAAAAGATTGTGCCTTGCAAATAGGTGTGTAAGGAAACTGGGAGGTGCTGACTTGTATGTGTCGGTTGCCGTGTGAGTCATCAGTTTTGTCTGAAGGCCGAGCATGTTCCGCCCCTGAGGGAGGAAGTCCCTGTCAGAATTCAACTCCAAACGCTTCATACCTTTGGCAGGCAAACTCAAGGTTTCATTTGGGTGTTTCTTTTTTTTTTTAATTTATTTAGTTATGCATACAGAACTGGGGTACAAGCCAGAGGTGCAGGGCTGGTGGGAGGATTCACCAGAGCCAGAATGGGGGGTGGGGGGACAGAACAGGAGATCAACGAAGTCCACTGCTGAGGGGAGCAGCAGGCGGGTCAGGAGAGGTCTGCCGCGCCATGTGGGTCAGCTCCAGGGCAGGCGGGGATCGAACTCGCACTGAAGCAGCTCTTGCTAGCTTGCAGTGCTGTGTCCTAACCCATTGCACCACCAGGGAGAGCCCAGATTTAGGTGTTTCTAAGATTCATTTGAATCAAGATGATTCTCGAAGCCCTAATCTTGGAGTGTCTAAACCACCAGAAGCACTTGGAGCAACACGGATGTCCGGACCTTATCTCGAATCAGCTGTCTGAGGAGAGGTCCCAGGCACTGCTGATTTTTCAAAGCTTCCCCGGTGACCCTAGGAGCAGCCAGAATGAGAACACTGACTGAACCCTCGCCAGGAAGAGACATACCACAGCAAGCTCCTCCCCAAGTAATCACACCCTTTCCCCATCCCCTCCACTCCCCGCTCCTCCCTCCAGAATGCTCTGCAGAAACATGAAACGTGACCTTGAGCCGCCCTCGTAGCAGGGCTGCTCCTGGGGTACGGGGTGACACCGTCCTGTGGGGCACCCACGGCTGGCACAGGCTCCCTGTACTCCACATCCACAGATAAGGCCGAAGGTCAGGCTTAGTGCCATCCAGAGGACTTGCATCGCAGCCACGCTGTTACTGCTCTTCACCATACTGCAAAAAGCCTAGTCCTCGACCTACTAGAGTCATATTGCTAGTGAACCCAGCCACAAGGACCCACTCTCCGTGGATTACGCCACCTGACGCTGGGACAACAGGGCTTCAATCTTGTCATCTCGCAATCATCCCCCTTTCCCTCCCTTATGGGAAACATGTCAGTAAGTAAATGAGCTCATCTCTAAAAGTAAGAGAAGGAAGAGGTAGGGAAACGTTGATTCTGCTGTTCAGTGGGCTGGAGCAGTGCTGGAATCTTACAGGTGGTGACGGAGTTGCTGCACACACTAGCTCACACGGCAGCTACCAGCAAAGCCGGCCTGACTGCTGGACACCAGACACCATTCCCCAAGCTCCTAGCCTCGCTCCCAAATGCTATTCCAGCATCCACATGGAAACTCCCATCCCAGGGCGCTGGTCCCCGCTTACAGACTCTCAGAAGGTTAGAGTGAGGATTGCCAGCCAGGGATTATCGTCCAGCAGCCTTCACCCGTCCCGTATCCCTGGGAGGAAGCTCCCATCCTGCGGTGGTGTTCAGCTCCCCTTCCCGGCCTGGAATACACTTCTCCTGGCCCTTGTATTCTGAGCTGATCCCGTTCCAAGTGTGTCGCCATGGAGCAGGTGCTGAGCAGGTAGATGCCAGCGGCTGACCTGTTGCTACTGAGCAGTTAGAGAATGCTGATGCACATGGTGTGCACTGAGTATGCAGGAAACCAAATATTTGAATGCCTTGCCTGCAGGAAATACTGGTGTCTACATACGCATACACACAGACATAGCCCCTCCTTAAATGATTTGGATCTTCTTTCTACCTATCTCTTCATTGACTAATTCACCTCATTATTTTCAAACAGGAGATTAGAATGGTAGAAAATAGTAGCAAGACTGTCTAAACATGGTTTGTAAGTGTTTTTGTCCTATAGATTCAAATGGACTTAAGCGCTTTGGGGTGTGTGTGTGTGTGTGTGTGTACATATGTGTACACATATGTATATACATATATACATCTTTGGGGTCTTATTCAGGAAGTGCTGAAATTCTAGATGTAGGTTTATTATACATACTTTTCGGGAATGTTAGAAATCCATGGTTTCAAACTAACTAAACAATATCAGATATGATATCTCCGCTGAGTTTCCTGTGAGCTGCAACCTAAAAAGCTTTACAAACCACATCACAGTTATTTTAAGTCCCACCCACATTGTTCCTTCATCTCTCCAGTGAGCAAGCAGAACAGAAAAACAAGAAAGACAGCCAAGGTTCTGAAATACTATTAGGAACCTGGAGAAAGCTTTGTTTGGAATTCAGGGGGGGAAATTATTCATCCGCTTCCCTCTCCCTTGCCTCCACCAGCAAAGCACAAGACTCTACGAAAGCCCATTTAACAAAAACACAAGAACAAGGCACCACAGCTGGACAAAAAGCGCTTGGCTGGGAGCACTGCTCTGTAGTGGCTTAACTCTGGCGCTGGAAATAAGCTCTTGTCCGGCCTCGGGCAGCACCCTTGGAGGCCGGTGGGCGTGGGCCCCAGTGCCAGCCTGACGCCGTGGCACTAGATGACCACGCTGACTGTCATGCTCTGGCCCTGCGGTGCGATCTTGCGGGGCCAGGTGAGCAAGAGCTTGCGCAACTCGTCGCGGAAATTGTCGTGCAGCCAGGCGTAAATGAAGGGATTGTAGCAGGCCGAGCTCATGGCCAGCCAGTGGCAGAGTAGCTGCACTAACCCGAAGGCATAAGGGTCGATGGCGCGCGGGTCCAGGTCCCGCAGCAGGTTGAAGACGTGCAGCGGCAGCCAGCAGATGGCGAACACCACCACGACCACCACCAGCAGGCAGAAGGTGCGGCGGCGCCGCGCGCGGTCCCAGTCGGCCTGGCTCTGGGTCACCGAGCCCGGCACCACGCGGTTCCGGAGCTTCACGGACACGCGGACATAAGACAGGAGAATGACCAACAGGGGGAGCAGGTAGGTGACGAGCAGTAGCCCCCACGCGTAGAGCTGGCGCTGGCGCTCCTGGGGCCCCCAGAACTCCTCGCACAGGTGCACACCGTGAGGTTTGAGCTCGACGTGGTAGGTGTGCACGGCCGCCGGCAGCGCCAGCACCGCGGACAGCGACCAGATGGCCAGCACGGCGTAGGCGCTGAGGCGCAAGGAGATGCGCCGGCGTAACGGGTGCGCCAGCACGACGTAGCGGTCCACCGCGATGGTGGTGAGCGTGAACACCGACACGTAGACGGTGACGGGCTGCAGGAAGAAAACCAGGTGGCACAGGCCGCCGCCGAACACCCAGCCGCGCGGCTCAAAGACGTAGGCCAGCGTGAGCGGCACACAGGCGGCGCACATGAGCACGTCGGAAAAGGCCAGGTTGCCTATGAGGAAGTTGGTTACGTTGTGCAGTCGCCGCACCCGAGCTATCACGAACACTAGCAGGCAGTTGCCCACAAGCCCCACAACCACCACGATGCTGTAGAGAAGCACAATCAGCCCCTTCAGCTGATGCACCAGCTGCAGGCTTTGGAAGGGGGTGACGGCCTGAGCACCGGAGCCAGCCGAGGATGCGTTCCCTGCCGCGGGCTCCATGCTCTGGTTGGCCTGAGCTGAGGCCACCGACGGCAGCCCGGAAAGTAAGTCAGGGACCGCGGGGCGCCTGGTCGCCGGTGAGGCCATGGCCACCTGTCCGGAGAGAACCAAAGTCAGCCACTTCCCATTGTCCACCCACCCTCTCCCATACCGAGCGCAGGTACCCTGCCGCCCAAATTCTCCCTTTGGATAACTGGGCACAATAAAGAATTAAAGCAATAAAAAATGTTGTCATCCCAAATCTGAAAAACTAACTCTTTGCGCAGTTAAACATGCACGGGCTATTCAATGCTCCCTACTCAGTTCAGAGCCCTCTATTCAAACCCAGGAGCAAAGACTCTACCTGGTGAGTGGGGCTTGGCGGCTGGGAAAGCGCTCCCGAGCAGGAGGGGAGAGTCTGGCTGTTTCTGAGCGGTCCTCCTCCCACCACGGCGGCGCGCGGGCTCCTCGCCTCTCTGCGGGAGCTGAACACATTCAGGAGTTCGAGGTGGGCTCGCAGCGTTTGAGATTGAGAGCGCCTCCTTCTGCCCCACCCCCTTCGGCGTTCCCTTATATGGAAAATGGGGGCGGTGCGTGCGCCGCCGAACTGAGCGGAGAGCGGTGTGGGGAGGATGAAAACAGAAAAGAAAGAAGAGGCTGGGAATCCTGGGCAAAGGAAGCAAGGGAGAGTCTCCACTGCAGGACTTTACAGAGCCCTGGGGGAGCCCTGCCCCGGATACAAGTGAGGTGGTCAAAGGCAGAGGAGTGGCGGGAAGCGCCAGGCTCTGGCGATGAGCTAGTGCTGTTTAAATAAAAGGAGAATCAGAGGGGTAAATGGGGTTGGGACGCCACGCAAAATGATGAACCCGCCATGTGTAGAGTCCGGTGTGGGGTTCAGAGAGTCCCCTAGGGGGCTCCAGGAGGGATTTTAAAGCATAGATCCTGGAGTTGCTGCAGACCTTCAGGTTCTTACCCCCTCGGTACCCACTGAACACTGCCTGGGTGTGAGATCAAGTTGTGGATCTGGCCAAGCCCAAGAAAGTGTTCAGCACCGCGGACAGCCCCAGCAGTTCCCGCGGCTCAGCGCGTGAGTGACCTCAGGTACAACAGTTAAGGAGTTTCCCCCACCCCATCCGGGTCGGAGGCATCTGGAAAAGGCACAAGGCACTAGGCACTAGTACCAAGACGGGGGTGGGGGTGAGGGGGGG